TTCGATTCTCTTAACTTTCTTCGAATTCCAAACTTCCTTTTTCAAATTACAATCTCTAAATTCCAAAATAATTTCAAAATATTGTGATATTTTTGGGTTGGATTTAGATATAATTAAAATTGAGATGAAATTTATTTGTTTTAACTTATAATTTAAAATATTGATTTTTAAAAATCCAAGTTATTAAAAAATAGTAAACTTTTCATCATATAAAGTATTAAATTAGTCCATTACATGTCTTATTTTGTGCATATATATATATTTATATAAATTATTTTTTAAAAAATTCATTGAACCGGGGTTGAACCGGTCCGACCGGTTGAACCTCGACCCTTTCACTTCACCGGTTCAATTAACGGTCCGATTTTTAAAACATTGGTCGCAACAGAGCTGAACAATTAGCCTTTTCTCAAAAAAATTTCCAGAATTTTTTTTCTCTCTCATTTTTCCTTTTCTTTTCTTTTGTCTCTTTTCCTGCCGTTTCCTTACTTCGCCCTCCCTTCCAAAACATTTTTTCTTTCTTTTTAAATGACACTAAACTGCCAAACCCTCGTCTCATTGGTGAGGATGAAGTAGGTTTTTGTTGGTTTCTTTTGGGCCATTTGATGGCCTTTTCTAGATATTTCTTAATGAAAAATTGCTGCTAGCTTAATGTCGATTTTCTATTTTTTCTGGAGAGGAAGATGAAGTGCATGCGCGCGTGAGGATTTTTTTTTGTTTTTGAAACTACATTTTCAGTTTCATTTTCTTTCTTTTCTTTTCCTTCATTTTCCTACAAAAACCGGCCAAACAAAATGATTTTATTTAAATAAGAATAAAAAGTAAAAAAAATAAAGATCAAAATTTTTGGTGTCTACATATATTTTTTTATTTTAATAGTGAAATTACATATATATTTCTAATATTTTACTATTTGTTAAGAAAAATTATTATTTTATTCATTTTTAAAAATAAAATAATTATTTTTTATTTTTTGAACCTCGATCTCGAGCTCAAACTCGATTTAAATTTGAGTTGAGTTCGAGTTTGACCTTTACATTGAGACCTTGTCGAACTAGAGTTGGAGCTCGAGTTTGATAAAATTAAGTCGAGACTCGGTTTGATTAGACCAAATGTCAACTCGATTCAGCTTGTTTGTAGCCCTAGGTCCCAGGAACGGAACTAGAAATTTTAATTTGAGAGGGGCAAAATGCATATAAATATAAACTTTTGAATTGACATAAAATTTGGAAGGGGGGGGGATAGTATAAAATACATAGGAGCTTTTCAAAATTTCCAAAATTCTAAGAAGAGAAAATATAAATATCCCCGCCCTCTAGTTCTGTCCTTGGTGGGTCCTAGAAGGTTAATTGGAATTTTAGACAAAAGTGGAATGTGACCAGAATATGAGAAATGTGCTAGAGTTAATTAGAAAATAAGTGGCCATGTAAGAATCCGACAAGTCTAAGCTCTAAACAAATGGTCTTCAAACCTATTTTCTAGTCTTGGATGCTTTCACGGATTTATTATTTTATTATCCTATGTTAATAACTACATAGTATTTTCCCTGTTTCTATAAATTAAGTTTATCCACCATTTGATACGTTTTCCCACTCTACTATGATAAGCATGGATGAGAATACGAGTCTCCATTTATTTGTCAAGTCTTACTTTTTACAAATACTTATAATGCATAATGTAAATAAGAATTTTCAGAATTAGAGTGTAATGAATGGCTAACTTAAAGTGCATAAAAGAGGAACAAAATTCTGCATTCTGAAATTGCACTAAATCTTAATTATTGGACTTAAATTTCCATGTTCCCTAAAAAGTTATGATAGTACCTTTTATTTGTCCAGCTAAATTATAGTATTCTTAAAAGTAATCTATATTCTTTTATTCTTGAGCAGCCCCTAGAGGCATGAAAGTATTCAAACGTGATTAACTCACCAAGTTTCAAGCTGCATACACTACACACAAGAGATAGATTTTTTTTTTCTCTATTTTATTTTTCTTGGGTGCCATGAAGAAATTTACAATCAATTTAAACTTGCAAGATCTGAGACCAATATCATTTTGCAATCAAGTCATAGATGAAGTCTTCTTATATGGACAAATATGGCACTATCTTAAGGTCAAATTTAATCTACTTTGATAAGTAGAAAGGTAATTACTTAGCCGAAACTAATTAAGAAGAAGAAAAGCAAGAGAGATAGAAAGACTGGCACCAACAGGAGTATCAGTAGCATAGAGTAAATTTCCCCTTGAAAATTCTGCAAACTTACTTAGAAAAGGACTAGGAGTCAATTTTAGTTATGGACTAGAGCAGTCAACTGCTACTGCTTACCTGAATAAGAATTCTTATCATGGTATTCCGGGTGGGGAAGGATGAACCGATGGAGGAAATACTGGATTTGTTTGGATACAAATTTTATTTGCAAAAAAATAAAGGAACATTTTATGTGCATCACAACCACATTTTTTAATTATTTTTTTTATATTCTCAATCATCTTTTCATTTCATATACATCATATCATAAAAAAAAAAATCTCCTTGCTAAATACATTCAATGATTTGGTAAGTGGTGACGGGAAGTTTAATTTATAGCCACGAAGAAATAAAAAGTCGGATGGATGGTGGGTTAAGTGGATTTTTTGACAAAAGTAGGATGTGATCAGAATAAATTATAAAATGAGAAGCCAAGTAAACTCTTGAAACATAATAGTCTTCAAATCTAGATTTCTACTCTTGGATCCTTTCACGACTTTATTGTCCTACGCTAATAACTATATTCTCTCCCAGTGTCCCGTAAAGATAGGGCTAAATTACTTATAATCCCCTGTGATTTTACATGGTATCAGATAATTTTCATAAAGTTTCAAAATATCCACATAACTCCCCTATAATTTTATGTAAAGTGAAAAATGGACAAAATTCATAATCAGTTATAACATTTATACCAAATGCGCTCTAAAAGTATGTGCGGTAAAATCTTAATCTCCATGAAACCCCTTGTAATTTGTATAAATATCTACTTTTTCCCCTCAATAATTTTTACATCTATTCACATAATTTATCCCCTATAATTTTTGCATCCCCCCACCATACTTTTATACAAGGTAGTTAAGCAGTCAATTGACTTAACATTTAAGTAAGGGCACTATTAACGTTTCAACTAACGACGTTACATAGATTATTTTCCATGAAGTTTTCACTTTACAGAAAATCATAAGGAGTGAAGTGAACATTTTGAAACATTAGGGGGTCATGTGGCAATAGACGGAATCACAAGGGATCATATGCAATTTACCCTAAAGATAGACCCGCTTTTCTTTTATTCTTATTTCAAATTATAGGCTTATTCCATTTCTAAAGAGTAGTTGGCGTATGAATTTACTATTATACCCATAATTAATGTGCATCTTAATTAGCAATTAATGTGCATCTTAACTTTGTTAGCAAAATTAATCTAACTTATTATCTTCCTAAAATACCCTTACATTAAACGGAGTATGAATAATTAGCTTTACATTAAATAGGTTATACTTAATAATAACCTACATTAAATAAGGACATTTTAGATAAGTTACAAGTTAATTACATTTTTCAATTAGAAAATGGACTATAATTTGAGATAGATGAAAAAAGAAAAGAAATTTATCAAAATGGGATGGAAGGAGTATTAACGGAAGGGCATATAAGAAAAGTAGTAAGTAAAACATGATTGCATTAGTTACCCTTCTTAATCAGTGTGTAAGTGGAAGTGAGCATATCTTTATGAGAAGGAGGGAATATTTCTTTGGTTGTTCTTACAAAGTTTCTCCACCCTTTCCCACCTTTTCCCATCCTATTATGATTAATTTGTTGGGCGAGAATATGAGTTTACATTTATTTATCAAGTCTTGCTTTACAAATACTTATAATGCAATAATGCATGACGTAAAGAAGAATTTTCAGAATTAAAATGTAACGAATTGGCTAACTTAAATTGCGTACGTGTTAATATCTGCATTCAGAACTTGTAATAAATCTTATCTAACTACAATTTTCATGTAGAACTACGAGTAAAAAGTTATGATAGTACATTTTATTTGTCCAGATAAATAATTATATTCTAAAAAAATGATCTATATTCTTTAATTGTTTGCATCACATTAAGTTTAACTTCGGCAGCACCTAGAGACATGAAACAATTCAAACGTGTATATAGCTCAATTTTCAAACTGCATAGACTACATTCAAGAGATAGATTTTTTTTTTTCCCTCTATCTTTTTATTTTTTTGGTGGCAAGAGGTATTTTACAATCAATTTAAAGTTATAACCCCTAAAACTATCATCATTTTTCCATGAAGTCATAAATGATGTCTTCTGATATGGACAAAGATGGCAGTGTCTTGAGGTCAAATTTAGTCTACTTCAAAAAGTATATTGCATAGACGTGTTAATAAGTGGAAAAGTAGGAAAGACAGAAAGACTGGCACTAACAGATGGAGACAATGTTCCACAAACTTGCATAGAAAAGGAGTAGGAGTCAATTTTAGTTGTGGACTAGAGCTGTCTACTGCTACAGCTTATCTCATATCCAAGCCCAAAGGCCTTCGGCATTTTTTTACTAACCCTAACTCCCGTGAGAACCCCAAAAGTCGGTATCTCTTGAGGTCTCACAGGGAACTAATAAACCAACCCCTAACCCCCCAGAACCCCGATGTGGGACAAAGCCACCACAAACGGAGGAAGCCTGCTACTAGGCCCAACTGGAAACCCGACCCCCCCCCCGGAAGCTTTTTTTCTCATATCCAAGCCCAAAGGCCTTCGGCATTTTTTTACTAACCCTAACTCCCGTGAGAACCCCAAAAGCCTGCTACAGCTTATCTGAATAAGAATTCTTACCAAGTCTTTAAACGATGGAGAAGTCATTGTTTGACTTGGTCAGCAGCTTTGTCCTGAATCCTGATGATTCTTGAATCCAGTGAAATAATTATACAGTTCTCAGTTGTGATCTGCTAACAAAAATTTCTAATGGCAAAGCCACCTTTCTTATTGCTTTTCTTGATGTTCTTTTCCCAAATCTTAACTTGTATCATCACTGTTGGTGCTTTTGGCAAATGTCTCAGTGATCAAAGGTTAACTTTGCTTCAGTTCAGGGACGGCCTGCTGTTCGATTCAACACTTTCGAACAAGCTGGTGCACTGGAATCAGAGTGGTGACTGTTGCAGCTGGGGTGGAGTGGCATGTGATGTTGTTGGCCATGTTATCAGCCTGGAGCTAGATAATGAGACAATATCAGTAAAAAATGAAGATTGGAAAAGCCTTTTCACTCTCCGACATCTTGAGAGACTAAATCTGGGTGACAATAACTTTGATTCTGTCGAAATCCCTGAGGAACTTTCTAACCTCACAAGGTTGAAGTGTCTAAACTTGTCAAATACTGGTTTCACCGGGCAGATTCCACTTGGTTTGTCGAGAATGAAGAGCTTGGTTACTCTTGATCTCTCCAACCGTTTACTAGACCGGAGAATACAAACAAAGAATAGTCCGGGAGGTTTAAAAGCGTTGTTTAACAATCTAACCGAGCTGAGAGAACTTTATCTTGACGGTGTCAATATTTCAGCTGAAGGGAGCTTGTGGTGCGATGTTTTCTCATCTTTGTCTAAGCTACAAGTTCTGAGTTTAACTAGCTGTCACCTCTCAGGTCCTATAACCTCTTCCCTTCTTGATCTTAGTTCGCTAACCACCCTCACACTCGATAACAACAATCTCTCAACCGTAGTTCCCGAATTCTTCTCAAGCTTCACAAATTTGACTTCTTTGAGTCTTGTCTCTTGTAATTTAATGGGGAAATTTCCGGAGGAGATTTTTCAGTTACCAACACTGCAGCGTGTATTGTTGTCAGACAATCCCTTTCTCAGGGGAAGTTTGCCAGAGTTTCCCAACCAGGGGTCCTTCACCGAGATCATCCTCAGTGAGACAAACTTTTCAGGTTCTTTACCAGACTCTATCGGAAACCTTCAAGCGTTGTCTAGGATAGATTTGCGGACTTCCAATTTCAGCGGACCAATTCCTGCCAATTTGTCGAATCTTGAAAATGTGGTCTACCTTGACTTATCACATAACAAGTTCAATGGTTCTGTTCCATCATTCCAGATGTCCAAGAAGCTCGTGCATGTAGACCTGTCCCATAATTCTTTTACTGGTCCTGTTCCTTTCGCCCAATATGCAGATCTCAGAGATCTTGAATCCATTAACATGGGGTATAATTCCCTGACAGGGAACATTCCCTTGTCTCTGTTTACTCTCCCGTCCTTGCAAAAACTCAAACTTTCTAATAACAAGTTTGATGGTCTGATGAACGAAATTCCCAATGCTAGCTCCTCTTTACTTGATGTACTGGATCTCAGTAGCAACTATCTTGGAGGATCCATTCCAAAGTTCATTTTTGAACTCAAAAGGCTTTCTGTCCTCTCACTTTCATGGAACACTTTTAGTGGAACTGTAAGTCTAGAAATGTTCCAGGGGCTCCCTCATCTTTCTGAACTTGACCTTTCTTACAACAATTTGTCAATAGATGCACTAGCAATACAGGTACAATCTTATCCTCGTTTCCACAATTGTCTGTACTGATGTTGGCTTCTTGTAATCTGAAAATTTTCCCTGATGTAATAAAGAATCAATCCGGAACGATACTTTTAGACCTATCATTGAACCATATCACAGGGCAGATTCCAAACTGGATTTGGGATGTTGGAGGAGGATATCTTCGGCAGCTAAACCTTTCTTTCAATCTTTTAGCAGAAATTCAAAAGCCGTACACCATTCCTTCTGCTCTCCTTGTGCTAGACTTACATGCCAATCAGCTCAGGGGTGAAATACCCACTCCACCGCTGCAATTCATATATCTAGACTACTCTAGCAACAATTTTAACCCATCTATTCCACCCAACATAGGTGATTACTTGTCCTATGCTGTTTTCCTTTCTCTTTCAAATAATAGCATCACTGGAGCTATCCCTGAATCCATATGCAATGCAACTTATATAGAAGTTCTTGATTTGTCTAAAAATGCCCTGAGTGGTAAATTACCAGCTTGTATTCTAGGAATGGAGTTTCTTGGGGTATTAAACCTAGGGGAAAATAACCTTCACGGTCTGATTCCTAATGCATTCCCAGACAAATGTAGCCTAAGAACCTTAGACCTCAGGATGAATGCCCTTGAAGGGAAGATACCAAGATCGTTGCAAAATTGCAAACAGTTGCAAGTTCTCAATGTTGGGAAAAATAAAATGGAAGACACATTTCCATGCATGTTGATGAAAGCAACAGATTTGCTAGTCCTTGTTCTGCGATCCAACAGGTTTCAAGGTGAAACTGTCTGTCCTCGGTACAATCACAGTTGGACAAGTCTTCAAATTTTGGACATTGCTCACAACAACTTTAGTGGTGCTTTGTCCCCAAAACACTTCTTCAATTGGAGAGTAATGATGACTGAGGAAGATAATGAAGCAAAGTACCTGCAATTTGGCTTCATGGAACTCAGTAACTTATATTACAAGGATGCTGTGACACTGACTATTAAAGGGCTTGAACTCGAGCTTGTTAAGATTCTGAGAGTGTACAAAGTTATTGATTTCTCAGGCAATAAATTCCACGGGCAGATACCGATGACAATTGGAGAACTCAAACAACTTTACATTCTCAACTTATCTCACAATTCCCTCACTGGCATGATTCCAGAAGCAATCGGAAACTGCACTCAGCTTGGTGTATTAGACCTCTCAATGAACCAGCTAACCGGGATGATTCCGGTAAAGCTTGCAGGCCTTACATTTCTTTCATTTTTGAACCTGTCCTATAACCAGTTGTCAGGAGAAATCCCAGTTGGCCGCCAACTCCAAACATTCACAGATGCTTCCTTTTATGGAAACAGAGGTCTCTGCGGATTTCCCCTAAGCATAAGCTGCAACAAGTCAGAAGCCAATGGATTGTCATGGATAAATGCATCATTCGAGTCTGAGAGGGACTCTTCCAGGAATGAGATTGAGTGGGAGTACGTTAGTGCTGCCTTGGGATTTAGTGTAGGGTTAGGAATCATTTCCTGGCTGAACTTTTCTAGTCCAAGATGGTGGGAAAAGTTTATTGCACTTGTCCTTCAACTCCTCCTGAGGATTCTGCATCGGCAGGTCAGACAAAAGTACTGCAGGACTCCAATTCGGAGACTTTAGGACTTATCAATGCTTTCATAAAGTTTCATTGGCTTGTTTTGTAATAGTAGTGTGCAATAAATTATTAATAATTTTTATTTTTTGCATTTCTTTCACTAATTTTAAAAATATAAATTGTTGTGATGAGTTGATGTGACTTATTTCATGCCAGATTTTAATGCGGAAACTCGAATATCAGCTTTTCCAATTTCCAGCATCATCTTTAACCTACTTTTTACACCAAAAAAAATTTAAAATTTTATAAAAAGTCATTTTTACAAGTTTTTCATGTAAAGAACTACCATTATTATCGTTTGGATTGCTATTTTTAAGATTTTTTTGTAGAAAAATGTATTGTAGTGATTTGATATACATGAACTAAAAAAGTAATTGCAAGATGTGTTTGTGGAAAATATAAAAATTTTTCTGCAGAAAATCACAATCCAAATTTAATATACATGTGTTTGTGATTTTCTGCAGAAAAATTTCTGGAGGGATTTTTAATTTTCTTGATTCAATGATCCTTACCCTATTTCTGAAGCCATCAACAGCAATTGTAATTTTTACCATTTCTATAAATATACTGAAAGAAATACACATACTGTAACTTTGTATAGAGGATAAGCATTACAACTTGCCAATGAAACTGAACTTCTAACAATCAAGAAGTAACCCTCTCTGTTTCTGCAATGGGAAAAGGCGAACTGCTGGATATCTTTCCAATATGATTCAAGCCTTTATGGCTGTAATCAAAGTGAAACTTTTGGATTTTTCGTTAGATGTAACAGTCAATCTGAATAGTTAAACTTTCAAATAAAATTATGATGAGGATATTTTTAAATCACCCATCAATTTAAGGTTAACTTCCGAATAAAATCTGAAGGCAAATTATACTAAGGTTAAAATGAAATTTTTGAAAAAAAAAATTCACACTTGCTTCGTCCTTAATGCTACCATTGTAATAAAAAAAATGCTTATATATTTTTGTCTCATACAAAGGACAAAAACAAATCACAAAAGCAAATATTCGTTTGAATTACTATATTCTAGAGTTTTGTGAAAAAAATATATTGTAACGATGTAACATATGTATGTGAGATAAACAAGTGATTAAAAAAAGATATCCTACAAAATGATTTTTTTTTTTAAAGTTGTAATCCAAAGTTTTTTTTTTAAATTACAGATAGAATTGAAGAAGAAGCAAACACATAATTTTTTTTTTAATTTTAAATTACATTATTTTAAAAGTGAGGGACTACAAAAGTGTAAACACCAATTGCTTGGAAAGCAATTTTTCAAAAGAAAAATTGCTACGTTTTTCATGAATACATTTTTTAGTCACATTTTTATCTCATATATATCAAATCGTTACATTAATTTTTTTTTAATAAAAAATCCAGAAAAATGCAATCCAAACAAATTCATCTATTTTCCCCTGAGAATAAACACCAATTGCATTTGGTTGCACAAAAAAATTTTAACTGCATTTGGATTGGTCATTTTTTGAAAAATAATATACAATGTTACAGTAATACACAAATAAAAATAATCACAAAAATACCAAAAATAACCTCAAAAACACAAAAAAAAATAATTTCAAAAACACCAAAAACATGCTCAAAAATCTCATCAACAGTAAAAAAATTTTCACTTACATTACTATAGTAAAATATTTTAAAAACATTCTAAAATACAAACCCGAGTGTTTTTGTCTTCTTCCAGTTTTTTGTTTGATAAGAAAACCTTGGGGATGGGGTCCCACCTCATAACGCTCCCCAAGATTTGAATCCCTTTTCCGAAGCGCGAAAACTCAAACCTCTCACCGCTTTTAAAACACACACTCACACAGTAGATTCACGCTCTCCCACACACACACACACAGAGCACTGACCCAGGTACTCTCGAACTTCTCGATTCTAGACTTTAGACGACGACAATCTTTTTCTCTTTTCAGAGAATAATGATAATATAGTGTATAATTTATTTATCTTTTTTTTTTCAAAGTGTATAATTTTATCCGTACCAGTTAATGGAATCGAATGGTAAGTATCGGAAGGAAATCGCAATTTAGTTAATTAATTTCGTAATCATTGTAATAATTCTTGATTTAATTGCCTTCACTTTGAATTTTGAATTTGCAGCTTTTTAGATATATAATATATAATTAGTAGGCCTGTTGGCTGTTGACTGCGTTAATTTCGAAGCAAATTATATAGTGGTACTTAGTACTAATTAATCTACTTTAGCACTCCAAAGCCTGCGGTGCATGCACTTTTCAACGTATGTATGCATCTTTTTCGATGCTTCATTTGAGTTTAGGGGCTTGGTTTCTCTTGTAAGTTTTCAACGTTTTTTTTTTCTGCTTTTGGTTTCCGATTAATTTCAGTAATGAATTTAATCTTTTTTAAATTTGTGTTCTAATTCTGCAGTGGACGTTAATCTTGAAGCTCCAGGTCCAGGTATATAATTATCCCTTTTTTTTTTTGTTTTTCCCCCTTTTTAATTATCATTATTGTTTTAAATCTACTTGTACTTCCACTATACTTGGAGGAAAATGTGTTGGTGATTGCTGCACGAAAAAGTTCAGATTTTTCTTTTTAGATACTTTTATTTATTTTTTCTTTTTTACGGTTCTTTCCCTATATTTGATTGAAAATGAGAGTATTTAGACAGTGAAAATGAAGTGGAAACATCAGAAATTTGACTAGGGAAGTTTAGTTACCGATTAAATGGAGCCTTCTGTAGTTAAATCTTACTGTCATGAAGAATGGTGTTAGATTTTAGCAATGTATCACTTGTCTGTAGAAACTCTTTTACCATTGGTGATTACAGTGATGCTCTGGTTCTTGAAGGACAAGCATGGATGGGATTTTGCAGCTTAGAGCTGCGGTTTGACGGAAAGATTGAAATGGGTTCGGAGTATAGAGGTTAAGGAGATGAAGACACAAATAAATATGGTGAAAGGGAAAGGAACTGCGAGGGTGAGTAGTCAGCAGGCGGCTTTCGAGCTAAAACAGCGCGTGGTTCTTGCCTTGAATAAGATTGCTGATAGGGATACTTATCAAATTGGGATTGAAGAGCTCGACAAGGCAATCGAATGCTTAACCCCAGATGGGCTTTCCTCATTTTTCTCTTGCATATTGGACACTGATTCGGTGCAAAAGAGTGCAGTTCGTAAGGAATGTATTCGATCCATGGCTTCACTAGCAACATACTATGAAGGCCTAGTATTGCCCTACTTAGGGAAGATGGTTGCTAGCATTGTTAAACGGCTCAAGGATTCAGACACTGTGGTGAGAGATGCTTGTGTGGATACAATGGGTGTATTGGCTTCCAAGTTTGGTAGTGATGAGGGTGGAAATAATGGACTTTTTGTTGCTCTAGTGAAGCCTCTATTTGAAGCGTTGGGTGAACAGAATAAGCAAGTACAGTCTGGTTCGGCATTATGTTTGGCAAGGGTCATTGATAATATCAGTGATCCCCCAGTGTCAATATTGCAGAAGATGTTAGCAAGGACTGTTAAGTTGCTCAAGAACCCACATTTCATGGCAAAACCAGCTGTCATAGAACTGAACAGAAGTATCATTCAGGTCTATTTATTTCTTACTGCAAGGTTATTTTTCCATGTCTATTTTCTTTATTCAATGCTTCATTATAGTACTTGTGGATTCAAAATCAGAAAAAAAAAATAAAGAACTTTTTCATTTTGGCTAATAGCATTACAGATTGAATGACCAAGTGAAAATTTTCCTGCTGTCTATCAGCATCTATCTCTTTTTTAATGACCCATTATGGACACTGACTATAATTTAAAACCAGCCCAACCCAAACGGAAAAGAGAAAGGGTGTTAATGTCTTGATAATTACTTTTGGAACATGAGTATTATATTTTCTATTTGATTCATATATATCTGAATGATTTTAGTGTACCATTCAGGCTGGTGGTGCTTCCACACATAGTTCGTTATCTGCAGCCATTGCTAGTATCCAAGAAGCTCTCAAGAATAGTGACTGGATAACACGAAAAGCTGCTTCTGCAGCATTAGGTGATATTGCTTCCAATGGTGGAGCATTCTTTGGCTCTTTCAAGTCTTCTTGCTTGCATTGTCTTGAATCATGTCGCTTCGACAAGGTTAATAATTTCTTGTGACTAAGTAGTTACCACATAGTAGTTAATGCTCCAAGAGCTTCAATTGTGTGAAAAGTTAGTTGGAGTTTTATGTGATCCATCCTTGTTGTTTAGGTTAAACCAGTCAGGGACACAGCACTGCAGGCATTACAAATCTGGAGAAACCTTCCTGGAAGTGATACACCAGAACCATCAGAAGCTGGGTCTTCAGTTAAAGGTCTTATAGATGGTGCCATTATTGTTACTTCCTGTGAGCAATGCAATTTAAAATGTTCCCTTTCGAGTTGCTTTCCAGCGGATAGCTGTTCCTAGCTGTTTTTTCCTCCAAATAATGGTTGACTTTGTTATTATTGTAACAGCATCTAACAGTTATTTGCATTGTGCAGAAAATTTCTATAGAGACGAGTATTCTGATATTGCAAGTGCCTGTACTTCTACACCCAAGGATGCTCGAATTAAGAGAATTGGTACAAACTCAGTCAAGAAAAGGGTCCCTCTCTCTTTCAAAAAATCAGGGGACAATCTTATTGAAAAGGCTCAGCATTCAAAAGCAGGTGATTGGAGTATAGAAATTGCAGTTCCAAAGACTCGTAACATTTCTTTGTCAGATGTTCAATACGAAGAATCTGAGGGTAGTTGTGTTACTAAGACATGTGAAAGAAGTGGTGGTAGGACAAGTACTCAGGATGTGGAATATGAATATGTGCATGCGGATGACAAACAGGAGTGCTCTTCTGCCTCTGCTCATTTTCCCGAGAATTTTGAATCTAAAGCATTGACAGTTTGTCCTAGTGTCCTTGATGAAGTTAATCTTGTAAAGAAAACAGGTAGAGGTCCACTTTTTACAACTGAAGAAATGAGCACTGAAGAAAAAAGATGCAGGTCCCAAATCCGGGATCGTCATAGCTTGGACTCCACAGTTACTGAATCCAGTTTTCCCACAATGAATGGCTGTTGCTCGAAAACGGCAAATGACATAGCATCCATTCGAAAACAACTTCTGGGGATTGAAAATAAGCAAACAGATCTGATGGATTCGTTGAGGGTAATCTTTTCCAATTTATTGAATACTGTAAATGGTTCAAGCCTCCTTCCTTGTGTTAGTTATCATGCCATCTGGACATGCTATCTATATAAACTTTTGAAAATAAAAAGAATACTTGTAATAATTTTCAGGACCAAAAAAGTATTATGTTTAATTCAGCAAATACTACTCTACAAGGCAAAATTGTGTTTAGAAGTGTCTGATTGACGAACTTAGGGGAAGGGAAATTTAATTGAGTAAACAGAATAGTCAAGTTTATTATTGCTAGCTTTACCTGCTTAAAGCAGCTAAGACCTAATTATTCTCTTGTTTCTCTTAAAAGTTCTCTTCTTGAATCTGTGTATATAAATGGTTCCATAGCTTTAACTTTCGGACTTAAGAAATTTCTCTGTGCATCTGATATATGTCTTGTTACTCAACATTTTCAGGTTTTCACGTCCAACATTATGGATAGTTTGTCAATGATACAGTTGAAAGTGTCAAGTCTTGAAGATGTGATTGAAGGAATGACACAAGAGCTTTTCAATGGGGGAAGAAGTACAGGTATAGTTGCAGCCACATTTTTGAAGAGAAACTTAGATTCTTGTTCTCCTAGAATCTCTACTTGCATTCCCAGACCATCTGTGGATATATGCAATAGACAGTCTGCATCATTGCCACCAAAAGCTGCGGATACTTGGGAGGAAGAAGCATCTACCAGGAGCAGATCAAGCAATTTTGCTAGACAAGGTGCAGACATATGGACTAATCCATCTCAAAAGTTGAGTAAAAGTACTGTGGGAAAGGGCATCCATGGACATGGTGGCCAAATGAGAAAAGCTGAAAATGTCTTTGCTTCAGTTTCTGCTGTGAACAGTAGACAGCGCGGTGCAGATGGAAAGGATAATCTGTGGAGAGGTGTAAGTGGTTATCTGTCTGAAGGAAATTTTGACTCCGCATATGCAGAAGCTCTTTGCTCTGGGAGTGAGCTTATTTTGTTTGAGCTTCTTGATAGAACAGGTCCTGTACTGGAATATTTATCGGAGAAGACAACCTGTGACCTGTTGAATACTTTGGCATCATATTTATCAAAGAAAAAATTTGCAACTTCCATTTTCCCTTGGTTGCAGCAGGCAAGTTGCTCTTGATTCCTTCTCTTATTGACTTAAGCACTTCGTTTTCCTTTATCCTTTGTAGGGTGGCCCTTGTCATTTTCTCATCGTGTCCTTCCTGTGTTGTTGCATTAGATGATTTACTCTGATGAATTTGTGGTACGAATAGAATAAAGCCTTAGGTACTAAGTAGGATAAATTTCAACTCATTGCTAGCTCTTGGCATTATTAGAAACCATTTCTCCACTGTTATGTACCATCTCAGCTGACCATTACAAGATAGAGCACATTTCTTGCATAGATTGATAGAAGCGAAGTGTGTGAAGCAAAGTGTGTGATAATGTTTGTATGTGGCTGCAAATGCTGCTTTAATGACCAGTTTCAAGGTTTTCTGAACAATGCTGCTTTGTGAATCATGTAGATTTTCTAAGACATCACTTTAGTTTGTCATGATACCAGGAAAAGAAAAGCTCTGGCACTATTTAATTTGACTTCATCTTCCTTATAAATTGGTACTAAACTTATTACACTTAGAGTTGCTTTTCTTGTTTAGATAATTGTTTGAGGAGTCCCTGTGGTATCTTTAAGTTCAACAAATTTCGTATCTTTGTTTCTTTCTTGACTAAGCCGCAATTTATGTAAGTTAGTGCCCACACTAGAAGTTGTTTGATGGCTGCCTTCAATCTCAAAGCAATAGTAAAACTCACCCTATAAGTGGCTCTGACAGATAAGGTGCTAAACTATGGGTCTGCTTGTGTGGCCATACTGAGAAATGAGGATTTTAATGTGAAAACAGTTTTAAATATTATTCTTTACTTGAGGAATGTAGGCTATGCAGCTAAACTTAAACTTTGTCATTTGAAGACCTCAATATTCAACTGGTAAGTGTGTTAAATAAATGGTTTTACTTGGCCTACAATTAATTTTTTCACTTTGGGTTTTTTTTTGGGGGGGGGGGGGGGAGGATAGGGTTGTCTGACTGCAGCTCATGGGGAGGTGGTGGAGGAGTTTCATGGATTCCTAAGGACAGTTTTCAAATGCAAAAGGATTGGTATTTTACCTTTATTGATAACTTTCTAGCTCTGGGTTAACACTGTAGACAATGTAGGAATGACATGAAAATCATCACATCATATTACATTTAAGGTTAAATCTTAGAAGAATCATTAGCAACTCTTAACTGTCCATTAGATAGTGATGCCTTTCCATTATGGTCAAGTTTGTTCTGCTGGTATACATAAAAAGATGATTGGAACAAACTCTTTTGACCTCAGGTGGTGGACTTGACTGCCATCCATGGACCCAATTACGTTGTTATTTCTTCAAAAGCAAGGCGTGATTTCCTGTTAGCTGTTCAACAAATTGCCGGTTTGAAATTTTCTAACCCAGTTGAGAGGAGATTTGTGACAGAGCTAGCTATGACATTGCAGCAAATGTGGGGTGAGATGTCTTTTGAATATCCAAATTCTTCCTAAGAAAATCAATTGTAACTGTCTCTACTTTCAGTTTATGTTATAATTTCTTTTTACTTCCTATTGTTGGATGACAGATTGTTGTGTAGTATTAATTATATGCCAAGAAGATAGTTAATAGAGTTTGTCAGATGAGTAAACATTC